TGACCTCGCACCTATATCGCGCACATGAACCATCGTGCCAGGTTTACTCTGGGTCGTTAGCCCAGCAAGAACAACGCCTCATGGTATGCGTACAGTTGCTGGCCTATCTCATGTAGCGTCAGCTGAAATTCTGAAATTTGTTTTTTTTTGATTAGAAATGATTAGTTAAGTGGTGTTGTAATGCTAAGTATCATGTGGCAGGGCAACTACGGTTTCTGGCCCATCGCATGAAATGTTAGCTGGAATTTTTGAATGTGTTTTCGACCAGAAAGGATTCTTTGGGTAGGGTTGTGATATTGGTGGAGGGACGCTCACCAATCGTTTTTACGGAACACAACGGGACGAATGTGTTCCGTAAAAAAGTTTTTTAATTTCCGAGTAATTTGGAGCCTGATCAGTCGTTGCATTTGCGCTTCGTGCATGCGGTCCGCGTAAAGAAATTCACATATTTTTCCATGCCTTTAAAAAGATCCTACATAGAGTCCATAGAATTTTGCAATGAATGAGGACTATGTTGTACATTTCATGAGGAGCAGTGGTAAACGGAGAGGTACGATGCTGCATGAATGGACATTGCACGGTCTTAGGAAAATCTCATAATAAGAAACTTTTCTAAAACCGGATTATACCCCTTCTTTGAGTAATAAAATATAAAGATGTAGTGATTCTCTATCAAACGAGTGGAAGAAGGCATAGTTTGTTCATATTTTTTATAAAATATATTTGAATTTGAAAAGTCAAGTTGGCGAACGCACGTTTTCGGTAATTCTTCCTCAGGCCAATACAATTACATGAACGAATGAAAATGTACAAAATCAACATAGTTTATAGATGCCTCAAGGGCTATTAAGTCACTAATACTCATCATCCCCACGCCGCCCGCATGAGAAGGTCGGTGGGTGTTAGTCGTCAGGGCTATGGGAGGGGGGTAAGAGAGTCTTTGAGTAATGATCTTGGGTTGAGTACACGGAGTACCCATCATCGTGATTAGGGATTTGAGGCGGCATGGCTTCATCACTTGGGGTTGGCGTTGGCCACGGCAGCGAAAGCGATTGTGTCAGAGTTTTCTGACAGCATAACACCGGATTCAATAACCGTATAGCTACTGCCTCTGCCGTTGCTAGTATCCGTTGGCGTAGGCCTTTAGAGAAGCATGTTGGTGTCCGGTAGACAACCTGAAATGCTTTCTTGGCATCGACTCGGTGGTTCGTGTCGATTAAATGCGCGAGAATAGAACTCGAAATCGACCGGGTCTCACCTCTGTCTAGCCAGGCGGGCATATGTTCACGTACCCTCTTTACCAGGCGTCTCGTTGTGCGGCCGATGTATCCTGCTCCACAGGAGCAAGTGAATGAATAAATGCACATTGATGTGGCCTCCAACGGTAGTCTGAATTTGAATTTATAAGACTATCGAAAATCAATGTGAAAAATTCATGCTACATAAGTAGTCACTTTTTTTTACCGAGTGCGGTTTCTGCAGGAGATTGAAAAGGAGTGTGTTTAAAAGCAGACATCCTGCCAAGTCCGAAATAGTATAAGGTTATGCCGCAAGATAATATGTATTCGAGCCCCACCTAAGTAATCCTTCCTAATCAGAAACGTATTTTGGAATTTCATCCAACATTTCATGAGATCGGTCACCCACTTTATGCTTCATAAAATCATTAGTAAAAGAACAGACATGATGTTATTCGAAGGGACATTTTCACGGTCTTAACAAATCTTATAATTGCAAGCATTTTAAAAAATCGGAAGATATCCTTTTTCAAGCACGAAATTTGAAGAATACATAATTTACCGAAAAGCAAGTAGAAGAAAGTATATTTGTGTGCATGCTTTCTAAAACCTATACTTGCATTTATAAGGACATCATAATTTTCAGCGGGGAAAACCCGTACTACCTAAGTACCCATTTTTAGTGAGCGTAGTTTTTTCCGGGTAGCCGGAAAGACGCGCTTTTGAAGGTCGGCATTACTTGCATATCTTTGGGCTGTGCCGCATCATAATCACTATTACAACCCCCACCACAGTAATCCTTTTCACGCGAAATTGTATTCCGGAATTTCGACAAATATTTTTCATTAGTACTGTCTACCAGACCGTCTGCTTATTTTGCATACTTGCTGGGCTAACCACTTGTGGTTTATTGCCGTCCACCATCCCCCTTCCCCTGTTAGCCAACCCACCATCTAGACGGGCATCCACGACACTTAGCCAGAGGCAGTTGCTCATGCGATATTAAATAGCCAGACACTCTGCCCACTTAGAGGACAAACCTCCATCCTGGCGGTCTCACTCGGGAATATTCCAAATCACAGGGGAGTAGCGTCCGTCGATCCAGCCCGATTGCAGGGCGGACATTCATAAAAATTTAATGTCGTCTACCAACTTTGCATTGTCGTACAATCTTGTGCCGGAAAGAGGACGCTTTGACTTCGAAACTACTACCAAATGCGATTGGTTTTTAGACACTCGCATTATCATACGTTAGCCTGCTAAACGCAAGTTTATCAAAACTGAATAAAACTGAATTACGGGAGCCAAGTAGTCATCTGGTGGATTCCAGATGGATTGCTTAGGAAATCCTGCTTGGGCAGTCAACTTACTGTATCAGATTTGGTGGATTCCAGACGTTGCAGTAGGTTGGGCGGGTAACTTGACCCAAATGTGATGAAACTCGCGTCCTCCGGCGGGGCCTCGTAGCTCAAGTGGTTAGAGCGTTGGCTGTACTAAAGCCTGCCCCCTACTGCGTGGGTTCGAATCCCACTGAGGCGCCGAGTTTTTCACAGTTGGGTCAATATGGATTACAAGGTACGTTATATATACCAGGTTCATTCCAGCATTCTATAGTCGTTACGACGTTCCTACTTACTAACTGACAAGTAGCATGATATCGTTTTCATGCAAAATACACACGGACTGGTTTGAAGGTTTTGGGGACAAATGCATGTTTTGACAGGCCTGCACAGTTTGCCTGAATACCCATATCGGAGAAATTCGGCGGTCTTGGTGGCACTTGAACCGACAGCAGCGAGGGCAAGGCTTGGATGCAGCTAACGCTCTTACCACTTGCTCTACTAGATCCCGATCGAGACCCGTCAGTTCAGTTTACCCTCCATCTCCCCCCGGCATCGGTGTATTGCATACGTTGCAGTAAGTTCGGTGAATGCGGAAAACTGTAGGCTGAGAACCTCGTAACTCAGATGGTTATAGTGCCGGCTGTACTCAACTCTTGCCCTTCCTGTCGTGAGTTCGAATCCCACTGAGGCTGCCTAGTTTTTAACAATTGGTTATTCAGTTAAAGACTAGATTGAAATTAAACTACGTTCTCCTCCCCTAAAACCACCCCCCCCAGACCATACTGCACCCCGTGAACGCGACAATCCTAGACACAGATCCAAAACCTTTGTTCGATGTTTTTCATAAAGCCTGCGAGAAGAGTATCGGCAGGGCCAACCTCCAGGAATGCCATCCCATACTAACGTGCAGATTTCTAAACTACACATTTCATATTGGCAGAATGTTACTGCCGACAACGACAAGGGAAACTGGAATGGCCATTTCTGGCCTATTATCCGTCGTCAGACAGTCATAACCAACCCCGGAGTGTGGAAAACCCGTGGCTCGAACTCGCGACCTGCTAGTTAAAAGTCCAACGCCTCTAACCACTGGACCACGGACCCGTTGTTCTGTCGGTTTCGATCGGGAATATGCAATGGTAGATGGGCGCTCACCGATCGTTCTTACGGAACTCACTCTTTCCGTTGTGCCTTACGGGCTCTCTATCTCGAGCCCAACCAACAGCCGCGCGTGATATAGGCAGTATGTTATTACCGACAAAGACAAGGGAATCTGAAGCATTTTCCCGGGTATGAATTGAAAACAAGCATGTACAGCAGAATTTATTGAGGCCAATAAATTTTGTGACGGCTTTTCAACTGCAGCCCGTCTTTGCACAACATAGGTAACGAAGGAAAGCGCACAGCAGTATGAATTTGTACAGAATGGCAGTGCATAAGAGCAAGGTCAAGGTTCAAGACAATTAATAATCAGATAAGACGTCACATAAGCATCATATAGGAAAGAGGGAGATGAAACGTTAACAACAAATCACAGTCAAGGGCAACTTGGGGCGTGAGATTACCAGGGCAATCGCAGATTGATCACGTGATCTAACTGCTTGCACAGGTCTGGTTTCTCCCTCCGTATGTAAGCTGCTTCCAAATAACGCAAGGTTCGAGTTGTATGCGCTCGGACAAGTACTCGAAAAGATGCTTTAGGGTCGACAACATGATCGCCACCTAACAGGTGTTTCGTTATGGACGAACGGGGGGTTTTGTTTTCCTGTTTGAAAAGCCAATTAGGCAAATGCTCAGCGGCCCTGATTGCCAATTGCTTTTGCGTTCGGCCAATGTACTTGCATCCGCACACGTGCACTTTCGGATGCTCTTATGCACTGCCATTCTGTACAATTTCATACTGCTGTGCGCTTTCATTCGTTACCTAGGTTATGCAGAGATGGGCTGCAGTTGAAAAGCTGTCACGAAATTTATTGGCCTCAATAAATTCTGCTGTGCATGCTTGTTTTCAAAGACAAAGGAGACTAGGATGGTCATTTCTGGCTTATTAGCCGTCATCAGCCAGTCATACCAAACTCCGAAGTGTGAAACACCTGGGGCTCGAACTCGCCTTTAACTACTTGGCCACGGGCCCGTTGTCCTGTCGGTTTCGATCGGGAATATACAATGGCCTCTTGAATCTCTCGCGTTCTGTACTTTGCCCCTACTAATGACCAGATTTTTAATGATGTCAGTAGAAGTTAATCCCCATTATGTTGTGCAAAGTTGCTATGTTTTGTCTTTCCGCACCTTTGTGGTGTACGCCACCATCAAGTAAATAAGCAGGGTCAGGATGCTTTCAAATAAACCATTTTCGGGGTTGATAACCAAGCGTCATCTGAAATACTATAGTCAAAGGAAATGAATGTGGCAGACATACTGTCTGAAGTATCATTTTCGAGGCCGATGATCAAATGCGGAAGTCAACGCAGCGAAAGTAAGATGCAACCACGTAAGAATAACTTTTAGGGAGGGGGGGGGGCATGGCGTGGTTATATTTCAGTCCTGCCCACCTTTTTTACACATGAAAACGCGAGCTTTGTGTAAGGAAAAAAACAGGCACTATTGCACTTTTTGAAACCAGAAGGGTAAGGGTATTACTTGTTGTCTTTTCCCCTGGCTCTCTTAAGAGCAATCTCCCCAGCTCCCCTCTGAAGTCTGCGCCCGACGGCAGCGATCTGCGTGACAACCTGAGTCGGGTTCAACTAGCGGATTCCGCCGGCGATTCCCTACGTCCCTTCCTCCTCAGTGGCATCGCACCGAAAGGCGACTTTGACGCCGGCCTCATTGAGGTGGCGCCCGAGACAAGTGGCCCCTCCTCGGACTCGGAGTCCAGTACCAGTACTCTGCTGCGTCTGCACTTGCGATTGGGCAACCTCCTGCGCGAGGCCTCGGACCTTCACGCCCAAATCGGTCATCTGCTGGCACAATCAACCATCTCCAGCACAGCCGGCGCGCCTTCCCATTCACCCTCGCATTCTTGAAGGGGGGCGGGGAACACTAATCTGTCTTCCGCTCCTCTCGCACTCTTCTTATCGCCCCTTCCCCTGCCGTCCATTTGCTTCACTTTTTGAGCCAATCGCGCGCATCAACCAATCAGCTCTGAACACTGCTCACCCATCGCTCGCAGCTAATTGGTCAGCAAAAATCGATAGGCGTGTGCGCATGACGCCTGATCGCGCGCAAAATGAACTCTGCGACTCCTTCTGTGGGCCGGTCTTCCATTTCCGCGCCGCTCTTGGGCACACGTTGTTCCACAAGGCAACCGGGGAAGATCACAGTGCCTAGGCTTGATGTGGCCGACCTCTGCCAAGCGGCCCGATAAGTCGCTGCCACTTCGTGCCGCTCCCGTTTTTTACTCCTGCATTTTATTCACTATCACGCGCTGGCCCAGACAGCCCGTCCATCACCGCTGGATATTTTGGCGGCAAAAGTAATGTTAATTATTTCTCCCACTCCACCTCCCCTCCCCCTTCGTAGAATATATAAGTTTGTTATGCTGACTTATCGTTTCTGTGGTGAGAGGGGGTTCCTGCCGAAATGAGTAAGCCCAAGGACTTGGGGGGTGGAAGGCGTGCCGACTGAATGAATCATCTAAAACCTGTCGTCAGGGTGACGTGTAGTAGAAGGCATCTGAAGGGGCGTCGACTTTTTTTCAAGTCCCCCCAGCCATGGCGCGCTGAGAGGAGATCTTTGGGAGGAGGCGTATCTTTCATGTCGACAGGCGCGGGGTGGCCTTGAATCACTTAAAAAGGACACTAAATAAGAGTTGAGATTAAGAATTTCAGTAGGAGATTAGGGAGTCTTTAGCGACGTTCCTCAGCAGGTCGGGAGGTCTTCAGAGAACTCCAAGAAATTTCCAGGCAAAGTGCTCGGAGGCACCGAACAGCAGCTTTATATCCGCACTCCATGTCCGCAATTTCACTTCACCATGCTTCCATTTAAAGCATACCTTGACGTGGAAATCTGTTTCCTTGGACTGAATGGGATTCGGCCGACTCAGAAGAGACCATATTCGGGCAAACTACCTCTTTAGGATGATTTCGGGCACTCTTTTGAGGGGCTGGAAGCTGCAGTCTCTTAGACGCATTTTACAAATTCACCTATGATCTGATAGGCCACCTGGTATCTCTGAATGGGGCACCTTCGACTCCGTCAGATTTTTCGGCAAGGCACCGAAATAGGGACCCCCCCTCTACTCCGGGGGCCTTGCGCCAATGCTCAGGTGTAATCAGGGTTAGGACACGAGAGGAGGTCCCATTCCTGTCTCACCGGTTCTCCGCGTGCACTCGGATTTTCTAACTTCGTCTGCTTACCATTCAGTCGTCTTCTGTCATTAGGGGGGAATGAAACCTGGTTGTTCAACTTTCTCGCGAGGAGTTATCTTGAAGGGCGCGTCCTAATCTGCCATGCTTAAAGCACTGGTCTTCACTTGTTCTTTTCGGTGCCCCCTCCCCCCATCAGGCCTCTATTTGTGTAGTTGAGAGAGAGAGAGAGAAAGTCGCATCATTTTGAAATCGTAAGTTCAAAATTTTCAGCAAAAAATTGGCTCCATTCACTATGGGCAGTAAATAAGTTAATAGATTATTCAAAAGTCAAAGTTTAACACAAAGAAACGATTATTATGAGGATAGTTCTAGTCTTAGCTCCTGTATTTCTATCTCTTCGAACGTAAGATAGCGCGCTAGGAATGGCAATACAGAAGCTCGATAAACCGATGTGCCACAGGATATAAGTCGGAAGCTGCGGCGCATCGGGCGGGAAGACTTCGCAGACATAAGATCAGAATGAGCACCACTCAGTCGCAGGAGACGACAGCTACGTGCGCCATCGCCTGCCTGGCCAACGGGTCGATCGTAGCCTACACCTGTCATATTGACAGTTCGATCGTCGTTTCCGACGATGTCCACCGTGTGCTACACCGCAAGGTACAGCAATTACGGCGACGTGCGCGTGAATTAGTTTAAAGTGATAGTGGACTTGCGCAGCATCTACCGCACTCTCTCTTCACTACTATGACTTGAATGCTGTGCACTATCATTCAGGAGAGGTTGTCCACTCAATTCTGTCCTTCTGCCATATAATTTGGCAACGCACGCTTATTGTGGATCGTACGCATCGCCTGTGCTGTGACTCGACGACTTGCTGACGCAGGCTCACTAGCATTCGGGCGAACCCCGATTTCCTGAATTTTCGCATTTTACCTGACAAGGCACAGTCTAGTCCTCAGCGTTCACCGAAAGCGCCATCAGTTTGCGCAAACTGCAGAGCGCACCAAGCCATGCGCATTTAGAAGTCGTGATACGGAGCAGATACTATAAATAGGACTAGTTTCGCCGCGGTAACTACTTGTTTATTTGTCGGAGTTTTCGAACTCTTACAAGAGGTCATTATGGGATAGGTGGAAGTAGCTGCAAAGGAGGCCATAATTACAGCAAGTCTGCTGCCAACTGGGCGGAACCCGCCCGCTTAGCCTCAGAATATGGTCAGTCTGCTCCCTGTCAATCATGAGACTTGGCATCAGCATGGCAGTGGTTCGAATCCATTTGGCACAGGGTCCTTTGCTGATTGGCTGCACACGGACAAATTCCAACCGCACGCACGTGCCGGGAGCTAAAAACCCCAATAGTTGTGGTTGCGTCAGTTGGCGAACATATGTTTTCGGTAACTCATCATCAGTCCGATGCATTTACATGGGTAATTATCATTCTAATTGTAGACAGGATATAAATGCGTCTCAGGGGGCAGGGTTAATCGGACTCCATGTTCTCACGCCACCCGCATGACGGAGTCAGCGTGTTGAGGACGATGGAGTCGGAGTGGGAGGAGGGAAGGAGGGGGTTCTGGTTAGATTGTAAGTGCGTGTGACTGCTCTCAGAGCGTCGGGACGGCGTACGATCACCGTCTGGAGTCGGCCAGGGCCGACATACTGCTTGTGTCAGCGTCTTCTGACAAAAGAGCGCTGGGTTCGCTAGTCGAATGGCCACTGATTTGGCTAAGGCTAGCACACGTTTGCGCAGGCCTTTAGAGTAGCGTGCCAGTGCCCGGTAGATAAGTTTAATGGCTTCTTTAGCGTCGGCTTGGTGGTTCGCATTGATTAGATGTGCGAGATTTGAACTCGAAATCGATCGGTTTTTACCTCTGCCTAGTCAGACAGGAATGTGTTCGCGTATTCTCGTTTCCAGACGCCTCTTTGTACGGCCAATATTGTTGCCTACTGGGACAACTTGCTGCCACGGTATGTTGAGCTGCGTTTACGCTCTCTCGCCTCAGTAAAGCTTGTCAACTTTTCATTCGTTCAGGCGTAAACCGTTGCTAGATCGTGTTACCAGTCTGACACTGTAGCCGGCGTTTTGCCTTGAAATTGAATTTCACTCTCCGGAACATCTAGTCCTTTCCACCAGGATAGATCCACTCGACTTTGTGATTTACGCAGACCATGTCACTCTGAATTCTCACACTGTCCACTGCCTTTGCCTAATTTGCATTTCACACCTGTGGCCGAAGGGGAGGGGCAGCCCTCACGAGGTTTCTGGACGCTGAATCGTATGCTCCCCTGTAGAGTCTTGAATGAGCTTATTCCACCAATCTAGATGAACATATGTGCAAATACTGCGTTCCCATTGGTTGCTTTCTCAAAGTGTGCGACCCAGAATAGCTCTTTTTGTTTGGTGTGTTTTGCAACCAGTTAGCTATTGCTCAGTGTTCTGCAGTCACTTGCCTCAAGTACTCCACAATGGGACCCCAAAACGAACCAGAGCGCTCGAGTTTCATCCCCCACAGGCAGTGTGTCCCACACCGTGGTCGCTGGGACCGGATTGCCTTGTATCGCGGTGTGCGTGTACTCTGTCCCCCTTAAACAAACCACACAGTAGTTGCGCTAGACAAGCTCGGAGGTCATATCAGGGTAGAGAATGCGTTATTTACCTGCGCGCCCATAACAAATACCATACATTGTGCAATGGTAGGGTGCGCTCACCGATCGTTCTTACGGAACTCACTCATTCCGTCGTGCCTTACGGGCTCTCTCTCTCGAGCCCAACCAACAGCCGCACAGCAGCGCATGATATTGACAGTATGTTATTAATGACAAAGACAAAGGAGACTGGAATGGCTATTTCTGGCCCATTAGCCGTCGTCAGCCAGTCATACCCAACCCCGAAGTGTGGAACGCCCGAGGCTCAAAATCGCGACCTGTTAGTTAGAAGTCCACGCCTCTAACCACTGCGCCACGAGCCCGTTGCCCTGTCGGTTTTGATCGGGAATATACAATGGTAGGGGACGCTCACCGATCTTTCTTACGGAACTCACTTGTTCCGTTGTGCCTTACGGGCTCTCTCTCGAGCCCAACCAGCAGCCGCACAGCGGCGCATGATATAGACAGCATGGTATTACCGGCAAGGACGAGGAAGTGAGCTCCATAGGAACGTCTAACCAGCAGGTCGCGGGATCAAGCCCCAGCTGTTCCACACCTCGATGTTTGGTATGGTTGGCTGACGACGGCTAATAGGTCAGAAACGGCCAATATAGTCTCCCTTGTCAGGTGGCGAGGCACTGATAAACTTCGGTTCGAGGAAGTGCTTATGACCCATCTAGCAGACCCAGTGGTGGACCGACTGCTGATGTTTGTGTTTCTGGTCCCTGCTGCTGGTCAGGGTTATGATTGGATGAATGAAGGCAAAATAAGCTCGAAACAATACCGTATCAATCTACCCGCATTCTCTGCGTCCCTCCGCGCTAATATTATGACTTGGCTAACTTCGGCCTGATAGTTGGTTGCCTGTTCGTGACCCTTGCCACCCGTACGCCTAGGTGCGGGTTCCTGCCACGCCAGCCACCTGGCCCAATCCCGCCCCCGGTCTTCCTGATTCTGTGTTAGATGCTGCGCAAGTCTACTGTCACTATAAACTAATTCACGCGCAAGTCACCATCCCTGCGCCCGCCTGGCTGTGACTCACGCTGTTGACATCGTCGGTAACGACGG